TACCTTATATTTGATAAAGCGTGTATAGTATAACTTCACAAATTGTTGAAGAATCTTAGTATTTATTCATTTATAGACACAGACATACACAATATACATCAAGAGGTTTCTATCAACTTAAGTGTTAGTGAATAATTGAGTAGATGACGGGATTTTTACATTTTTCAGGCAATCGAATTATGCTCTGATGAAACCCACTCCAATAATTGCAAAAGGTACCTCGACCATTTGTCAATACAGAACGCTAACAAAAACAGTGATATATTTTTAAATTATAGTAATTTTTTTGAGTTTCAACATGTTTTTGCAGGTCAAAGCTTACTTTTCACACATTCGTTATCCGTCGTCCGAAAATTTTTATATCTGGCTCAAAAAGTTTCTAATTTACATACATCCGCCGTTCGTATCCGATGAACGCTAAAATTTTGACAACTTTGACATAAGACAAACATCATTCCAACTTTCAACATCATAAAAGATCATAACCTTGAAATATTTTTACTATTTTTAATATTTTTTCTGAGATTTTTCAGCAGATGGGACAAAAGTAATACATTAGTCACTAATTTATGTCGTTGTAAATAAATTTTTGTTTATAATTTTGTCAACCGACAAAATAATCTCCAAAATAGGTAATCATAAAAGTGAGGTTGAAAGACATACAATCGTCGGACAATGTTCAAGTGCAAACTTGACAACATTTCCATTTACTATGATGTAACATTTTATTTTACTCCCAATTTATCATAATTTATCCTAGTAGTAAACTTTGCTAGTAGCAACAATCAGTAAAGCGTATAACCTGTTTATGGCTACAATGTTGTGTTGTAAAAGCTTTGATAAAAGGCACGGACTCGGTTTATTTGAAACTTTGTTATCATGGTTCACAGTACTTTATTGTTGGTTCTCTCAGACACCAAATGTCGTTTGCCTCTCTTCGTATTACGCGCAGGTCCATTGTTGGAAAGTTTAATTTAATTTAAGTTTAGTTTAGAAAAATGAGTGCCCTAGGCTTCTTTAGAGTTCATTTTGCGTTGCTTCCACTTTTTCTTTTTTTTGGGGCACACTTGGTCAAGATTCTTCCTCCGTTTTTCTTGGATGGTCTGTTTTCAGATCCTCTATCTGTTTTCTGTATTTTGGATTTAACCTCATCATAACACACAGACTATTTGCCGTCTTAAATGTCCAGCCAATAAGCTATCATAGACAGCCTTTTTGATCTTTTTAGAAGGTTGCTAGGCTCACAGACTTCGATTTTTTATACGAAGTTTATCAGTGGCGGTCCAGGAATTTGAGAGTATTTTATTTTTGATTCTTTATTTTAGCATTTTTTTTCATAGCTAATACTTACAGAATCAGGATAATATTATTTGATAATCAGTCCGGTATCAGTCAGGTATTATATCCAGTTGTGTTTACGTGTCGCTTGAATAGTATTGTGTTTATTTGAAAATTTCTGAATTTACTCGTAATTGAGTGTTTGATTCGCAAGTTAGGGAAGTTGTACTTCAGGTCTACAATGTTTGTAAGGAATAATCGAACAGAATTCATCAAATGATGTTCTCAAACGTTTCTAAGGACGAACTGCCCCTCATAGTGAGGTCAGTGAATGGAGGAAGTTGAACCATTGGTGATTCTCAGTTGTAATAATAGCGATTTTGGTATCTGAGCAACCGACTAAGTTCTGCCTATAGAATGATTGCTGGCACTCCGATGCGGCGCAAATTTGACGTCGAGTAACAGAAGATCATAGATGGCGTGACTAACACCATACACGATAACCAGATTTTGTTTTCTTTGGTTTCTCTAAGTCATTCTGATGAGCTCTAATAGGAGCGGAACGTGTCTGTTTGAAATGTATTTTGTTTATTTCAATGTAGGTATATCAAATACGGCGCGATTATGTCGGAACGAGTAATTGTTGTCTTTTCTTAATCTCGCCCTTCAGGCGTCGGAGCTCATCTGCCTAGTGATAAACTGTATGGTTTGAAGAGAAATGGGCCTAATATTATTTCTCGGGATACCTCGATTTTTATACAGTGTCCCCCATTATGTTCGCTACATATGGGAAAAAAATTTATTTGTAGATATGTAATTTTTTTCCATGTGCGATCGATCCTGCATGTCCGATAACCTAAAAGTACATTTTGACATTGGTCACGTAATCACTGTTGTGGCGGCAAATTCGAAAATTAAGATATGGAAACGCGAAAAGTTGGGTTAGATGGCAAAATTTCGGAAAAGGTTAATTGAAAAAAGTTAGTAGAACGATGTTTTAGGGCTGTCTGCGAAATTTTCAGGAAAAGCAACAAAAAACAGGAAATTACTTGTTTTTCGCCATGGATCTCTTATCGAATAACATTATACGTGTGCAGGAAATATGCAAATATTAAGTGGACTGTATGATTGGCGTAATCAAATCGATCGCGATATGCACAAAATTTGATTTTCATAAGAACTCACTCACCTATATTGAAGCGTATCACTAAATTCTTGAATAAGAGGGCCCTCTGGAACACTTTCCTTGGGTTGTTACTCAATCCACCCAGCACAATAGTTGAGTTAGTAAAGTCTTTTCAATAATTTCGAAAAATCCGAAAGCCGAAAGTTGTTTTGCCACCATAAATTAAAGTTAAGAACAAAAGGTAAGGGTTAGAAAAGTTGCATGCCCTCCACACGCGACGGTACTCTCTAGTGCTTTGTCGGACGGGTTCAATCGCAATGGTTCCACTATTTTTAGGACCAGTATGTAGTACCGAAAAGATACATGTTCGTGCTGGTGACGCATGTGTTTTACGATTCAAACCTGTGTACATTATCAAAAATAATCAATGCTAAGCGCGCGAATAATAATCTTCAAATCCAAAAATATTGTCACCAAGGATAAGATTCCAAATTCAGTAAAACCAACGTTAATTAATAATTAATTACACGCTAACATAAATTTAATAAAGATTCTTCAACAGTTTTTATTATTGAAATAGTCTAGTACCTCAATATTCAATGTGTATTGGACATTGGTAAAACAAACTTAAACTCTCCATTGGAATCATTTCTAGAGAATTAAATAAAAATATCTGACTAGCACATGAAACTTTTCTGTAGCAATACTCTGTATCTTGACAGTTTGTCAGATTTCCAATAATTTACTGTTGATACGACAATTGAGAAGAACCATTTTTGGGATTTTGTATTAAATTTTTCAATACAGTTGTAAATCACGTTACGTAACTGTCAAGATACAGGGTATTGCTACAGAAAAGTTTCATGTGGTAATCGAATATTTCTATTCAATTCTCTAGGAATTATTCCAATGAAGAATTTAATTTTGTTCTACCAATACACATTAAATATTGAGGTACCTACTTGGACTATTTCAATAATAAAAACTGTAGGTATAATATATATTAGTTGATAAGAGATCCATGGCAAAAAACAAGTAATTTCCTATTTTTCATTGCTTTTACTCCAAATTTCGCAGACAGTCCTAAAACATCGTTCTAATCACTTTTTTCAAATAACTTTTTCCGATATTTTGCCATCTAACCCCACTTTTCGCGTTTTCATATCTAAATTTTCGAATTTGCCGCCACAACAGTGATCACGTGATCAATATCAGAATGTACTTTCAGGTTATCAGACATGCAGGATCGATCGCACATAGGAAAAAATTCCATATCCTACAAATAAAAAATGTCCTCATGTAGCGAACATTATGGGGGACACTAGCTCAAAATTGTTCAGTTGATCCTCAAAAATTTGGATGTAGCAGATGCTTCGGCAAAATTAACGAGATCTACTGCTACTTTTTCATCAATAATTGAAGGTCTTGAAAATTGCAAAGTTAGTCAAGTATCGGGGTGATAGAACAGTCGAAATTTGAATGATTCTAAAGAATAAGTATTTATATATAATTTATTATTGTTTTCAGTTTAATAGTGAGGTTACGAATAACTATGGATTAGTTGTGTTGCATAAATATCATTATTATTATCGCTCTTGCCATTTACCTTGTATGTCTCACGAAAATGGTATTTGCAAAAATACATAAATATACTTAATGTCAGTTTAAAGTTTGGAAAGATATAATTAGGAATCATTTGACGTCAATATCAAGGAATCATGCAATCATGGTCGGAACATTTCCATGCAACTCCCAGTTATACAAAACTTTTTAAAGCTTTTGTTATTAACCATTTTTTTAAAGTCTATAATCGATAATTCTCAACACAAGCTGTATCAACCTATAGCTAATATTCGGCGCTGGCTTGTAACACGAAAAAAAAAAAAAAAAATTGTCGCTGAATAGGCGCGGCCAGATAAGCCTCCAAAATAATGGCGGCCGAAAACGCAAACTTTTTGCGTGTACATTTTATCGTGGAAACTTTATTGAGGATGGAAACTTTGTTTGGTCGTTTTTTGTTCGGGATTAATTTTCCGTGATTTGTTTGCCGTTCTGCTGAATAAACTTCGAAAAGGAAATCACTCAACCAGAGGATCGATTTTAAAAAAGGGCACCCCCGAAATTTTACAAAGTTGACTTTTATGTTGTTTTATGTCTATTATCATTACAGAAATTCAAAGTTTATTTTGTAGAGGCGCCAGTTATATGTCAATATGAATAATGGATTTACTTTCGTTACATAATCTACAAGCTAAAAAGTTGTAGCAGGTAGTACCACTCGTCTCTATTTCTCTCAACCTAATAATTTATGATGAACTAACTGTTTTATATAAGTATATATTGAACGTAGCATGTATCGTATCGAGTAGGCTGTTTACTCGTGGTTCTGCAGTTAAAGTCTGATTTCAGTGTTTATACGTGAATTTAATTATTAAAAGGTGGATAGTGGTTTGAGGACTGTTGAATTCCACTGAATTTAGGGATTTTTTTAACTAGCAATCCAGTGCCTTGTGCGTGAATTAGTGAATTATAATATCTGGTTTTCAACATGGTTTATACCAAGCAAACAAAAAGTGAAATAAAAAACTGTATTCAGGAATGTTTTAACGATGCTACGTTCATGACTTCTTTTGCAAATACAATCGCCAATTTGGTTACCAGTAAACTCACTGAGCAAATAAACGCATTGAAAGATAAAATATCTGATCTGGAAATTGAGAAGGAAAATCTATCCAAGAAAGTCGATGAGTTGGAACAAGGCAGTAAGATAAACCAGCTAAGATTATATGGGCTTCCTGAAAGCTCTACCGAAGATTTGAAAACAAAAGTTCAACAAGTTATTCAAACCAATGTTCAGGTGCAAGATATTTCTATGGAAGATTGGTGGGAAAATTTTTGTTAAAAATAATAATAAAAAACAGTATATCAGATGCATTGAAGATCTAACGAATATTTAAGGTAATGAATAGCGAGCCCTTGTGAACACTACAATTAATTATATTATTATTATTATTATTTTTTTTTATTTGTGTAATTAATCATTACTTTGTAATTAAACATTAATATTTTATCTTAGGTTGTGCAATTTTCGAGCTTATTTATATAATTTCTTGTTCAACAATCTGGATAGGGAATTGCGTATAATGAATAACTTTTCTTTTGCCTTTTTTAATATCCGGTCACTGGCTAAAAATTTCTCAGAATTCAAGACGTTTTTGTTACAAAAGAGGTATGATGTGGTAGGATTATCAGAGACGTGGCTATCAAATAGTATTCATAACAATTTACTTACTATAGATGGCTATGTGCTTATTCGTAAGGAAAGGCCCACTAGAGGCGGTGGTGTGGCTGCGTATTTGAGATCTGGATTGAGGTATGAGCATCTGAGGGGAAATATTGCGGACTTTTTGGAAGAAATCTGGTTAAAGATTATAATAAATAAAAAAACCTACATTTTCGGCTCTTTTTACAGGCCACCTGCTGGCAATTTTCGAGATTTTTTGGAGTCATTTGAGGATTCTATATCCGAATTTTTACCGGTGTGCTCTGACATTTTGTGTGGAGGGGATATCAACATTGACATGCCTGACAACGATAATCGAAATATCCTAAATTTTGAAAATATTTTAAGTTGCTTTAATCTAAAACAAATTATAAATATACCCACAAGGGTAGCAAAAAATTCGTCTTCGTTATTGGATGTTATAGTTGTCTCTATCACTGGCACTGAAAATGTTTATAATATATCTGATCATTCACTGGTTTTTTGTCAGTGTGGATCAAATAAAACAAAACTTCATTGTACTAGTTTTAAAGCTAGAAGCTTAAGACGGATAGATAGAGACCATTTTAATGAATTGTTGGTAAATACTCCATTTCAAGATATCATAAATTTAGTCGACGTCAACGCCAAGGTCGCTTATTTAACTAAGTTGATCTTAGAATTATTTGACTTTATTGCCCCAATAAAAGAATTCAAGAAAAAAAAGGTTCACCCTCCTTGGTTCACAGACCCTATAAAAATGCTTGTATCACTAAAAAATAAAGCATTTAATAAATTCAAAAAAACTAAACTAAAAAATGACTGGGAATATTATAAACAAATTAAGAACGAAACCACTAATGCCATAAATAGAGAAAAAAAGGGTTACCTAGAATTTTGCGTTGCTAAATATAGAAATGATGGCAGAGCACTATGGAAGGAACTTGCAAATCTTGATGTTTATAATAAAAAGCCTAATAATGTTTTGCCTACAAATTTGAATAAACCCAACGAAATAAACAACTATTTTTTGCAGTTCTCAAAATACACCGTTCCTGAACAGGGATTGATCGACTTTTATTTATCATCTTCATTGAGAACTAACTTTGAACCTAGTCTATCATTTTCATTGGTGGACGAGCGCATTGTCTACAATTATTTAGTGGAAATTAAATCTAAGGCCTTGGGTCATGATTTGGTAAATATTGACATGCTGTTGCTATGCTGTCCCCATATTATGCCTTTTTTGGTCCATATATATATAATACCTGTTTACTTGAAAATTATTTCCCAAACTCATGGAAAATATCCAGAGTACTTCCACTTCCCAAAAAAAAAGAAGCAAGAGACTATAGTGATTTACGTCCTATTTCAATTTTGTCCCCATTATCTAACGTGATGGAGGAAATTTTGGTAGGGCAAATAAGAGAACATATTAATACTTTCAATATTTTGCCTCAAAGACAGTCCGGTTTTAGAAAGGGATATAGCTGCGCCACTTGCCTCCTTGACGTCGGTCGTGGATGACATTATAATAGCAACTGATGACGGTAAGTGTTCTGCTCTGCTGGTACTGTTGGACTATTCCAAGGCGTTTGACAGAATCAATCACGAGATCTTATTCTCGATTTTACACCACATTGGGTTCTCGGAAAGTTCGATCGAGATGATGAAGAGTTATCTTTCTGGTCGGTTTCAATATGTAGAAACAAACGCTGGGATTTCTGATATGGGAAGTATTTATTGTGGGGTGCCCCTGGGCTCAATCTTGGGACCACTTCTTTTTTGTATTTACAGTTTTAATATTGTAGGTTGCTTGAAACATTGTTCTTCGTACTTATATGCTGATGACACCCAGCTACTGCATTCCTTCTCGCCGCTAGAGTGGCAGTATGCCAATTCCGTCATTAATGATGAATTAAATAGGTTGGTGAGGCATTCGGAGGAGCACCACTTATCAATAAATCCAAGCAAGTCTCAGGTTCTGATCTTTGGTAAAAATAAAAAAGAAATTGCTAACAGTATTAAAATTACAATAGATAATATTGATCTTAAATGTGCCGAATCAGCTCGTAACTTAGGCTTAGAATTTGATACAGATTTACGATTCTCGTCACATGTTAATAAGTGCCTAGCAAAAGCATATGCCAATCTAAAAATGTTGTATCCTCATTGGCATGTCCTATCGGAGAAGTTAAAAATAAGCCTCACCGATTCGTTGGTTCTTAGCCATTTCAATTTCTGTGATGTGGTATAGGGGCCCTGCATAACCAAAAATGATTCCAAACGAATACAAAAGGTACAAAAATCGTGTCTACGATATATTTATGGTATAAGAAAATTTGAACCTGTCTCTCACAAGTTGGTAGCTGCTTATTGGCTTCATATGGATTCTCGACGGCATTTGCATGCAGCATGCCTTTACCATTCGGTAATACTTCACAAGTCTCCTTCGTATCTTTATAATAAAATAAGTTTCCGATCAGATGTTCATACCTTGAATCTCCGATTTCGCGGCTTGCTATCGCCACCCTCACATAAAACTGTTTTTTATGAAAGATGCTTTACATTTAACATTTATTTGATGTATAATAATATTCCAACAGAACTCAAAAGCTTAAATTTGAATGTCTTCCGAAAAAGATATAGATATCTCCTGACCCGTCAATGATAGTTCTCCGTTGTTAAGTGGTATCACTCTCTATATTTGCATTCCTTCCCATTCATTTTTACGCATTCCCCCTAGAGTATATATAAGCACAACACTATTAATTTGTTAATTGAGATTGATAATATTGGTATTTTTAAATACGCACGTTCTATTTAGTTTAGTACTGGGGTCAAAACTTAGCATCAGTATTACTGCCTTTTGACCCCATTTTGTAGTAGTCTGTAATTTAGAATGTAAAAACAATTCCATAACTTGTAATCTTTTATTACTACAAATAAACTATATTATTATTATTATTATTATTATTATTATTATTATTATTATATCAAATTATACAGGGTGTAAAAAAAATAGTATACCGGACTTCGAGGAGTGATACTGCATATGAAAATAAGAAACATATGTCCCAAGATGCTTTCTAAAGAAGTTACGGCCCTTCAAACGGTAGATGAAAATAATAGATTTAATTCATTGTCAAGAACTATTTTCCTTGAAATTTGGTATTCTCGCATACATTTCGATGCCAAAGCGAATGGTGATAGTAAAAAAAATCGTACCAGTTCTGAAAGGGTAGTTTCCATAACGGTAGAGGGTAATTACTCACAAAACAAAAAAGCATCTTAGGGCATATGTTCATAGGAACCTTTTTTCTTATTTTCATATGTAGTTTCACCTCTCGAAGTCAGGTACACTATTTTTTTACACCCTGTAGAATCTGTTTTCCTAGCGAAAAGCCTACATTATCTTAATAAATTACACTGGAAAAATGTTTTGCACAAGTGCTCTCTAATCTTGTTAAGCAGGGTTCACACTGTTCGTAAAGTTCACCGATAAACTAGAAAAAAGTTCGCGTTTGCAACTGCCATAACTCACGTCTTATCTGCACTCACGCTCGCGCCGGTGACAGATTTTTATTGTCACTATCGCGGAATGTATTTATGTTCGAGGTACGTTTCTCTTGTATTAAATTAGTAGTTTCAGCGCAATAAATAATCGGGAATGCCCAGATAATGGCGTTTAATAGGTCTCTAATTAAAGGTATTACAGCTTACGTGGAAAATGTCTTAATATGTCTTACCAGCGAGAGGGTGCGTTTTGACCATCGTGTGGAAAAGTAATGAATTTTCTGAAATAAATGGCCATTGTATCGGTTAGAGTAATAAAATATACTGCCCTATTTGTTCACTATTTAAATTATCGTACCCAATCGACATCGTCAACTTCACAACCAGATGGGACTTAATTTATTGTGTTCCGAACATTTGACAGACATCTCGTCGTATAATAATTAAGGATCAAAATTATTCAATTACATTAGCAAAAATGAATGCAAATTTCAACTAATTAAATGAAAAAATCACTTCCGTAAAACCTATCGTCAACTAGTTCCTTTTAAATTTGCTGCTTTTTTTTTCTGGTTCTCTCTTTGAAATACCATCGATCTATCTGCTTCAGGCACATATCGACGCTCGCAAATAAGGAATCGTAACTTCACGTTGATAGTTCTTTGATTCAAAGTTCTAGGGGTTTTCTCTTACTTGCAGCACGACTTTTGGAAATTAAAACATAGAATTTGCTTATAAGATAAAAATGTGATTTAGAAAAAATATGATTTTTCTTATATTCAACTTTAAAAATATGCGATGTTACTGTTTCCTAGTTTCGAAGCAGATTAATTGGTATCTGAGAATGCGATATGTATTGTCACGCTCTGGGGTGTGTGACATAAATCTTGGGTCCGTTTATATTCAAAATCAAAGTCCAATTAACACAACAATAATTTATTCCACGTTACTAAACACTCTGACACTAATTATTTCACTAATCAACTCAAACAACTTAACTCTTTACAACTCTCAACAATAATCAATATCTAAATCTTATGAGAGTCAATCTTAAACTTAAAACTAATAATACCGGCTTTTATATATCCGCAATCTATTCGTGTAG